TCAAATTATTTCACCTTGGTGTGGAGTTCTTCTTTTCTATGTTTCATCCGCCTCCCACCGCCCGCTTCCCCCCGCCTCCCTCCACACAGAGACAAGCCAGAAGGAAATGATGATGGGCATTTTCTGCTGAATTTCGGTTTGGAACCAGAACAAAACGATGTGGACGGGTGGGAAAGGAAAATCGATGTCAGAAGTTTGAAGAAAGAGAAAGGGAACAATAAGGCCCATTCCATGTTGTTGAATGTTTCGGATGTAGAGTGCACCACGGTGAGCAATTTGCAACTCTCGAACGCTCTATGGCCAACAATACACCTGCTGCAAAAAAATTGAAAACAACAACGCTGCCTTGCGTTGCATTACGACTGACGCATTTTGCTTCTCAAAGGAATTGACACTGACCAAGTTCGTTTCTGACATCGACACTTCTGATGTCTCGTGCTAGCCTCCGGAACATCAAAAAGCCTTTGAGCGGACCATCTGCAAGCTATCCAGGCTCGAAACGCGCAACCCGTGCAACATGGAGCCATACGACGATGCGATGTCTGCTGCCTGCGGTGCTTTGCAACGGATGATTGAGAGCAGTTTGGACATGCCGATCAGGGATCAGCCAATACCGAGGCAGGGCACCAGTATCGCTTCGGCGATATTTCAGGTTGGCCAAATGACATCTGTGAAATACTCAGAACGGCCTCAGATCTACTTTCTCGGGAGCTTGGCTGGATTCCGTGGTTTACGTTCGACGTGGACGATCCGAGAACATTTTTGGATGACACCATTTCTTTTTGTCAAGAAGTGGGAAAAGACTGGTTGTCATCGTGGATGGACATGTGTTGCGTTCTTCTGAAGCACTGGTTGCCTTTCATTGCTTCGGGGTCAACACAGCTTAGCGGCATTGTGCGCGTGGTTGATCATTCGTTGTCAGCTCTCCGCGAATGGCCAGTGGAGGTCAAGAATGTGTCACGGCAATTCAAGTTTGGTGGAGACACATTGGTTTCAAGTTATGAGATCAAGTTTAATGCAATGGTGTATGGAGAAGCCCTCGACATCACGGCATCAGTGGTTTCTTCTGTCGACGCCGTTCTTGTTGGCACGCCCAGTGTTGGAAGAGTGGGGAGTGATGCATGACCAATGAAAATTGGACACACACTGAGACCACACACACACACCGAGACAATACACACAGAGACCGCACACACAAAATACTATATTTGTAAACAAACGGACCGGATAACCCCACATGATAAGTTTTACAAATTTGCTCACGGGGGAGAAGGAGTAGCGAGATGAAAAGTCAAGAAGGAAGTGTGCTCATGCTGCTGCTAACGCTGCCAGACAAGGAGTTGCACTGCTTTCTCTAGAGCTTACAGTGACTTGCTTGAGAATGGCCAATGGCAAAATTGTGCATTTCCAACAAGCAAGTGAACCCTTTCGTCCGGCGGGTTGCGGAAAGAGCGTTCCTTTTTTTGCACGGGTAAGGGTGCTATGATCGTGATTAATTCACATTCCAACAAAGAAAACACCAAAAGAAACCCAAACCAAACACAAAAACCAAGCAGATCAGGTTCATGTCCGCTCAAGACGAAAAAGCAAAAAGAGCAGATCCGAAGACCAAACACAGAAGTGAAACGGGGCGATGAATTGCTTTCAAGCTGTTCTCAGTGCAGAACGTCGGACGAAAACTGCATTCTGCTTGTTGGCAGGCAGGTTGTGCTCAGATGTGAAGTACAGCGATGATGAGATGGACGAGGATGAGAAGGACGGAAGGGAGGAGGTGCGTGTGTGTGTGTGTGGCGAGATGGCGTGCGTGACCAGCATTGTATGTGGCATTGGTCTCCCGAAAATCCCACTAGAAAAGGCAAATATACAATCGGCTGTGAATGCCTTCTCCACAACGACAGTCCCGCACAGAGAGTGGGGTAAGTGAGTGAGTGAGTGGAGGGAGTGAATGAGTGGGTGAATGGAGAGAGGAAGTGAATGAGTGAGTGAATGAGTGAGCGGAGTGGAAATACATCCACTCGTTTTCAGTGCAACAAATACCTTTAGTACTCTCGATTTTGCGTGCCACTTTTATGCAGCATTTGCAAGGCAATGCACTTGCCGCGCAAACACTGGTCAATGACACCAGTGCACAGACACACTTCGCAAACATCCTTCTCGCAGCGTTTACAATCCGGCAAGAACCAACACTATGGAAATCCTAATGGCAGTAATGCACAGAAACAATGTAACGCATATCGTGGCCGCAATCATTCCAATGCGATTCGCAGCCTCTCACAACCATTGCGCCATATGCGGAGGGGATTTGGACTATGATTAGGTAAGGAAGGATGCATTTCGCATGTTTGGCGGTGTCCTCAATTTTTTCGTAAGGTCGCACGGGCTTCCACAATCCGTTATTCAGCCTTCGGTTTGCAGCCAAAAATCATTCAGGTCTTTGTGTTTTGAATTTGTTATTGTTTATGATTGCCCGCGTATACCTAATCCATTGTAGTCTATGATTCATAGATGCAAATGCAATGAAAATACTGCTGGCCAATCAAAAAGTGTTGCTTTTGCAACGAAATCTGCGCATGGAGGGCACAGAAATTGCTGCGCCTGCCAAGAAATCCGCACATGGAGGCTGTGCCTGCCACGACATCTGTTCACAAAAGCGCTGTGGCTGCCACGAAATCTGCACATGGGGGTTCCATGTGTGGCAGAAAATCTGTGCATGGAGGTCCACAAAATACTATATCCGCCCCCAAATCTGCACATCGAGGTTCATAAAATACTATGCCTCCCACGAAATTTGCATTTGAGGAGGCAACAACCAAAATAGAGAAACGATTCGAATGTGACCCCAGAATGACCCGAGACCGTCTCGCAACCGTCGTTCCGCAGAGCTGGACTTGCCAGGTTCGAGCCATCGTTCTATTGAAAAACACAACATTTCATACATCCCTATTTTTGAACCTGCCACGAAATCAGCACATGGAGCTTCACAAAGTGCTTCACAAAGTGCTGCGCCTGCCACGACATCTACTAATTGAAGGTAGGGCTAGTGAAAGAAAACTGGAGCTAAGGCGATTGACACAAAAGCTAACAAAACTAAAGGATGAGTAGTGCATGCTGAGTGTGTGATGAGCGGTGTATTGAGTGCATTGATGAGGAGTGTATGATGAGTGGTGTGTGATGAGTGGTGGTGTATGATAAATGATGTATGATAAGTGGTGTATGATAAGGGGTGTATGATGAATCCTTTATTGATAAATCAATAAATAAATCTTGAATGTCCGTAATATGGAAATTTTGTGTATTAAATTTCCTTTGCTCAAATCGCTGAAGTGCCCGGCTGTGAGGGATTGATTTGTTGCTATTTACAAAATATAAATGCCTCTCGACATCGTGCAGGTGCATTTCGATTGCGCAAGTTTGCAAAATCTAGGTGGCCGCAGTGGCTCGTGCGCATTTTCACACATGGTGGCAACTTTTCGTCGCAGGCGCAAGAGAAATCTTGTGTTTTGGTGCTTCAAAGTTGATTTTTCGTGCCAGGCGTGAGGGATCAAAGCTATTTCCCCTCGAAATGCAATTTTCGTCGCAAATATAGCACTTTAGACATAGAGGCAATCGTCGAGGAGCTCAAATTTCCTACTTGGTGCAATAAATCGGAACTTTGTATGTAGGTCGTTTACAAATTTCGGAAGAGGCACAGCGCTCTATAACCCTCGATATACAAATTTCGTAGCAAACACAAAATCCTCGAACTGCAAATTTCGCTTCAAACAAACATTTATTAAATCTCGAAATTTCGCATCATAACAATTTATGAACCTCGAAATATGGATTTCGTAATAACCACAACATTTAATAAACCTTGAAATACAGATTTTGTAGCAAACACAACAAGTAATAAAAAGCCGCGACTCAATTTAAGATTTTTTTTTAAATTTCCTTTTTTGGATCTTTTTTGTTTTTGGTAATTCGTAATAAGTTCAATACTTCTTATAAAAAATATATTTCGTGGCAAATATAAAATTTTATAAATGTATAAATGCAATATTAATAACAAATAATAAGACTTTATAGGCTTTAGAATACAAATTTTACAACAAACACAAGATTTTTTAAAGACCTTAAAATGCAAATTTCGAAACAAATATAATACTTTATATTCCTTAAAATATAATTTATTAAATAAACATAAGACTTAAAAAACCTTAATTAACAAATACAAAATGTTATAATTTTTAGAATTTTAAATTTATAAACGATATAAATAAAAAAAACCCATATTTTTTAAAATAGAAAATTAAATATATTAAAAAATTAATCTTAAAATACTAATTTCGTAATAAATACGAATATCGAAAATAAAATATAAATTTCGTAATGCGGAAAAAAATAAAGAAGTAAATAAAACATTTCCCAATAATCATTCCCCAAATCCAAAAATACATAATTCGTACTTATTATTTTGGTTTCTATAACGAAAAAAAAAATAATAAATAACATAAAAAAAATATAAATAAATATATAATATAAAAATTCAACAAATAATAAACATATTTTCTTTTATTTATACAATTATTCCTATTTTCTTTTTTTTCTCGAGGTTTATTAATATAAAATTAATTAATATTTTTAGTTAAAAAATAAAACCATATTAAATATATAAAAAAATATATAAATAAAAAATATATATAAATAAATATAAATACATACAATAATTAAAATATTATCAAATTTTCATTTCGAAATTTATTAAATATTATATTTATTATAAAATTTATATTTCGAGATTAATTAAAAATTATAATTATTACGAAATTTATATTATTTATACTCCCTATCATCCATATTCACTCAACACCCACACAAAACCCCAACGCATCTAAATCTCTAGACTTTCTACTTACAAACCTCACACACACTCACTATTTAAGATCTCTTACCGGGATAATTTTTTTATATCTTTTAATCCAATAGATACTTTTCTTTGGTTAAAATTGAACCAACATATTAAATTATACTAAAACCATATCTACACAAACTCAAAAAACACAACACTCCTTCAGAAAAACATAAATAAATTTCAATCGCCATTTGATAACCATGCACGAGCCGCAAACAAACGCAGAAACGCGCCTTTTCTGCAATACTTAAACCAAAATACAAGTCGGTAGGACCAAGATGAACATCATAACAATGCGTCATATCCACTATTTATCTGGGTGAAAGGATGTGCAAATCACGTGTGCTACCTTTACCTGTGAAATTCCAACTATTAAATCTTCGAATGCTAACAATAACAATAATGTACTCCTAAAAAGATATATCTGCACCAAAAGTCTCTGGGTACTTCACTTGCGGTTTGGTCTTTTTGATTGCTGCGAGCTAATGATGGTCTGCAGACTGGCAGCTTCACAAATTCCAGTCCGGACCAGCTACGTACCAAAATCACATGGATAGTTCTTTTCTGAGACTTCCAAACAAAGCATCCAACCAATACTCCACTCCTTCTCAGAGTGACCAAAGTTGAAGCCATACAGGAACCTAAGTCCAGTAGGTTGACAAAAGTGTCGTGGGAAAAGTCAATGGAATGCTGAAAACCCCTTCCAAGTCTTCCTTGTGAAGTACTCTTTTGAAGAGTCACAATGGATTTAAACACAAGTCCGCGAAGTTCATGCGCTATGAATGGAATTAGCTTTGGTACAGTTGGATTCTCAGTCTTTTAGCATTTGCAAAGAATTGAAAGGCCAAGATGCAAAGGGAAGCACCAGTGGAGATGCTGCACTGTCCAAGTGCACTTCGCGGACCTTGGCAAGGTTCAATTACTCTGAAGAAAGAAAAGTAAAAACATAAATGCTAGCGATGGCCTCCACCTTACTCTGCAGTCCAATTTTAGCGTTCTTAACTTTCTGAAAGATTTCTGGCAAGATACGTTATGAACAGGGAATGACGAGGACGCCCGACGTTTTTTCCAATCAACACAAGCTTCTTGTGTGGCTAGTCTCAGCCTTAAACCGAAGAGGCTTGCTGTAGAACATCTTAAGTTCTGTGATGAAGGCAATCTTTCAAGATCTCCCAAGTCAAGGTGCCGTGTGACCATCCTCCTTTGAGACCGCCTTTGTTTCGCTTGAGGACACCTGAGCAGCCGCTGCCCAAACGACGATGTTCACGATTTCAAACAGCTATGCTGACGGTGACATGGACTACCCAAGACGGGCATTTTACCATCAACTGTCAACGTGGTCTGCAAGCTTGATTGGGCCCTGACTCCCTCGGTGGCCTTAAACTCTCACAAGCCTTCTAGAAAAATGGGAACACACATCCAAGACCTGTAGCCTCCCCGTAGCACCGCAAAAATACGCGCCTCCACGACATACTTGGCATTGTGATGTGCCAAGGCCGTCTCAAAGGTCTCGACAGCCTAGCCCGCAGGCTGACACACACAAGATTTTGTTTTCGAGATGTCGTAAGATAAGCCACTTGAATGCTCTAGCTTTGAATGACGTTGCTGCCACTTGAATGGAGGCCATCACCATTAGGTTGCAACTCATTGCTTTCAGATTGGAGGCCATCGCTAGGTTGGATCCTTCGTGCACATTCACCATAAGGTTCTCAGAACGGTCATGCTTATTCTCTCTTCTTCGTTCTTTGTTTCAGTTTCGGTCTCGTCTCGCCTCCACGGTGTCGACCTGATCTAAGGTGTCCAAGACCTGATCCACGGTCTTGTTCAAAGGCATGATCTCGTACTTGATCTCCACACGACCTCGCAAACAGGAAATGTACACACGGCAAACACAGATGGAAAGCATCTTGATGGATGCATGGATGCATCAAGTTTAAGCTTCCCTAAAAATCTAGAAACCAAATCATTAGTGCGAGCGCTCATTCAAGGAAGTTCCTCCGGCCCTCAGGCGGGGGGAGCTTCCTTGAAGAAGCGTGAGCTATCTATCCTGCGTCCATGCCTAGCGTAGTCTAGTAGCGAACTAGTTGCCCTACTTAATTAAGTAGGCGCCTACTTAAGTAGGTCAGCAAAAAAGATCCTGGAGCGCTTCTCTCCAAGCCCCCCGACCGCTGGGCGACTCGAGACGCTTCCGTCGTGGGCGTGAGCCCAAGGACAAAAGCGAGGCGCCAGACTCCTGGATCGCGATGCCCTCAACAAGAATAGATCCAACAAGTGTTTCCATTAAAGAACACGGGCAAAACAATCCTTAAACCTAATCAAAGTTGAATCTGCCTGATACATTCATGACGTGCTTGCGAATGTCGCAAATAGCATGTAAGTTTAGTTTCCCTAAGAATCTAGAAACCAAATGGATAGTGCCAGCGCTTCTTCCCGCCACCCTAATGGGAGCTATCCTGCATGAGCTTCCTGTTGCTAGCTACTTAAACTTAAGCTACTACCTCACCTCTACGGCCTACCCCCTAATAGCTTCTTGCTCCTAGTAGCGATGCCATGAGACCCTAGTAGTAAGGCCTACTCCCCCGGGGCGTCCTGCACGATGGTGACCGATATGATGACCACGGCGTCGGTGGAGACCTGCGCCTCTTGAGCGATCGCTTCTCGGATCGCCTCCAAGGCCTCCGTGTCCTTCACGAAGTCGTTGGCGTTGCTCACTTCCTCGAGGAGGGTATATATATATATATATATTAGCGTTGGCCTCCAACCTAATAGCAAACCATATTAGATTCTCTTTTTTTGGGGGTAGATTGTAGAGGGAGGTAGGTAAGCTAGGTAGGTAGCTAGCAAAAGCAAACGATAGCTAGTACCTTCAAGTAAGCTACCTACTACGTATGGACGCAGGATAGCTCACGCTCCTTCAAAAAAGCTCCCCCGCAGCCATAAAGGCGGCGGGGGGGAGCTTCCTTGAAGAAGCGCTCGCATTATTCATTTGGTTCTAAGACTTTTAGGGAAGCTTAACCAGCTTGAATCAAACATGTAAGTTCAGAACCCTTCCTTTCTCAAACGTCTCTCTGGCCTTGGAGCACAAACAAAGGAGGATTGGCCAAAAGGAGAGGTGGGTGGGGTAGGTAACCGGCAGGTATGGGTTGTAGCAACCGTTTAGTCGTGACAGGAAGCTAACTAGTGGCAATGACGAAAAGCAAGGGTTCTATGGGGAAGCTCCCAACAATTTTTCCTTTTCGGTGAAAGTGACAATTCTTCAAATAAGAATGCAAAGAAAGAGACATGTTTGTTTTGTTCAAAAAAGGACCAAAAAAGAACAAACACCGTAACGCGAAACAGCCTTTACGTGGAACGCGTTCTGCGCCTTCGGCTCCGAGCTACTAAGACCTCTGTGCCTTCCACTGTGACCGTGGCGGCGATGGCAGCGCTGGCCGAGTCATTGAGCACCGTGCTCGTGATGTTTGCACCTCGATTGGAAGCAAAGAAAACGCAGATTTGGAAAGCAAACAATAAGGATTTGGTCCCTGAGTCCCTTCTTCAATGATCTTTTGGAAACTCTTCCGGTTTGATTTATGGCCATTTTTTGTCAGGAAAGGACCTGACAGTGCCAGTGATGTGTGGACCTGATTTGGGAAAGAGTTGACAGCAGTGGAGTCCTCGGAGCTTGTGCAATTGAACAGTGTCCAATTGAACTATAGTAGGGCATTACTACTAGTAGCTATTTGCTCCTAGTAGTAATGCCAGGAGCCCCTAGTAGCGTCCTTGCTCCTAGCAGCGATGCCCTTTGTTCCTAGTAGCGAACATTGGTCGTAAGGTTTGGTTGCTGATACAAAGAACAACGAAACCAAATGCTGAAACCGCATCATCCAAGGAGCTTGTAGTGGTGGTAGTTTGTGTGCTGGTGATAGTTGTAGTGGTGGTGGTGAGCGTAGTGGTGGAGATGCTGGTGATGGTGGTTGTGGTCGTAGTGGTCACCGGCTTTCCATTCTCATCACACTCGACGATCTTTGCATCCTCAAATCGGAAAAACGATCTCATCCTAGACTCAACACGCTTTTGTTGCTGCTACAAAGGTCCATAATGAAGATCAACATCAAACCAGACACACCAAAATGTCCCTTGTGCTTCAAAAAAGGGCAACACAGCATCTTTCTTGGCGGAGAGCTAGATCAGCTAGAGCTTGGAATCAATTTCAAAGTTACGTTTCCCTAAAAAACTGGGAGCCAAATCATTAGTGCGTGAGTTATCCTGCTTCTATGCCTAGTAGTAGCTTAAGTAAGGTAGTAGCTACCTCTCTTCTACCTTAGCTACCCAGTCTCTACCACCTACCCCCCCAAAAAAAGACATGTAGAGTTACCGTACCGATCTTGACCAAGCAGCGGGGATGATGCACTCCTCCTCTTGGCTGGTGTTGCCATCGCAAGCCTTCCCGCCATAGAGTGCCGGTTGCTGTGTCCTGTCCCGATTGGAAGAACCTTTGGTGGCAGCTCGATTCGAGACATTTTTCATTCTTTTTGCATCTTTAACAGGAACCCATAGATCTCCTCATTTTGGCCCAGCAAGGGCGATCTCAAATTTCCACATCTTCTTGGGACTCAATAAAGATATCATCGCTACTAGGTTGGAGGCCATCGCCACTAGTAGCAAGAAACTTTTTAGTATGGCTTTGAAGTTTTCTAGTAGAAACTACTAGTAACAAAAGGCATCGCTACTAGGAGCAAGAAGCTACTAGGAGCTCCTGGCCTTACTAGGAACAAACAGCTACTAGGTTGGAGGCCATTGCTAGTAGCTTTTCTTTGTCCTCGAGCTCCCAACGCCCGGTGTCGTCCGGTCTACGTGTCTCGTCCGTCCTGGCACGGACTTTCTTCGCGCCACAGGGCATGGCTTCGCACGGACCCCACTCCTGTGAGCTTGGCTTGCACAATTTGCTCAAACCCTATAGCGTCCTTGTTCCTAGTAGTAAGGCCAGGCCAGGAGCCCTTAGTAGCGTCCTTGTTTCTAGTAAGGTTTATTTTCAACTTGATTTTAGTTCTGAAAGATAACAAAAAATTACACCAGCATAGACCCAGATAGCTAGGCAGAATCCCACGACCTGTTGACATGCGACTGGCTGGAACAAGAATGCACAGCCAGCTTGCGGCGCACAGGCAGCTGACACCGGCACCGGTGCGCCTTGCCAGCTGACAAAGCGCCCAGGACCACAACACCAGCACCAGCACCGACACCCTTTCAAAAGCGCGCGCAGCCAGCTGATTCCTATTTGTACCCCCCGGCACCCAGCACCCGGCAACCACGCGCCACCCCCACGGGCACCTGGCACCCTGTCTCCACCACGTGCACAGCCAGCTCGCAGCACCAGCGCCGGCACCCGTCTCCACCACGTGCACATCCAGCTCACAGCACCAGCACCAGCACCGGCACCCGCCACCACCACGTCCACATCCAGCTCACAGCACCAGCACCAGCACCGGCACCCGGCAC